GGGCAAGCTGGGCCGGAGCACCTGGAAGAAAAGTGCAAAAAGCAAGCCTTGCAACAGCCGTGTGTGACGGTGGTGTGACAGAGTGGCTTGTGGCAGGATATCCTGGCATTTCGAGCCTCTTTCGGTCTCGGACCGCAGGCACTTTGGGAGCTTCTGTGGCGGCACTTTCTCTTGTTTAGCATCTTCAGGAACCGTCAGAAACCGCTGCTTAGTACTATTTAGGGCCCGAGCATCAAACCGTCTCACTTCCAGGACCCTGCACTTCCTCTGCCACGGCAAGGAGAAGGCTTCCGTCAGTTTTTCCTTTCCAGCCCTTTTTTTGCCTGGAACGTCTCAACTTCCAAGGCGGAGACTCCAGGCACGTGGGGGAGCTCAAGTCCAAGACCAATTAGCCATCTTGCGAAGCACCTGCCGGCAGACGTCGGCTGCGTTGGCTCGAAGCCGAAGCAATGCAAGCGAGAGAGAGAGGGATAGAGAGTGGCCCCTTCTGCAAGCATCTTCTGTGTGACTGCACTGTTGGCAGGACTGGTTGCAGGGCATTGCAAGATGCCCATGACAACGACAGCTCCGAGGTGAGTTGTGCTGACATTTCTGCTGATGTAAACGGAGTCTCTTCAATGATAGGCGATAATTCGATGGTTATGAGTCTCTGATTCATGATGGTTGGGTGCCACCGTTTCGCGCCACATGCTTTTGCCAGCCTGGCCGGCGGCGGCGGCTTGTCCTCTTTGCCACGTCGCTCTTCAACACACGCACGCGGAGGACGCGTCCTCATGCTCCGATTGGCTGCCTCGCCTTTTCTTGCTTTTGGCTGATTATCCCAGTGAAAGAGCAACCGAAGGAATAGGAACTGCCAGAGAACTGACCAGAAAGCAAGGCTGAGGTTTTAGGTTCTAGGGTTTCTGAGCTGTCCTTCCCTGAGAGGCGCTGTTTTCTGATAGTTTGTGGCTCACGGTTTGGCATTTTTGCCGCAATCCTGCTGCTGATGTGCATGCTCCTAACCAACGCAAAACCTCTAGCTTCCGTCAGATTGAGGCAAACAATTCAGACTGTCCTGCGCGACATGTTGCCTGCAGGAAATACCCTGCTCCTGGCGGTGCAGGCGGCATGCTTTCGTTGTGTCGTGGTTCAACACGATCTTTCGACCAACGGAACTCACCATAACGCACCATGGTGGGCCGTACGAGGAATCCTCGACCAACCTGTGTTCTTGCATGAGTGATGAAGTCAAGAACATCAGACACCGTGTGCATGCGTGTGTGCATGCACACATGATCACACATGCATGCGCACATGCATTGTGCATGCACACATGCATGCTTCTCGCACGCACGCTTTCCTGTTCGCTCTTGCGGTCACACCTTCGCACACAAGCACTCACACAGAAGGCACCAATGCTGCCGTGTAGCTGAGACTGGCAGTTTCTGTAGCCTGTCAGCATGTCAACTTGCGTAAGTTCGTGGAAGCTGGCTGCTTTTCGGTGGGTTTCATGAGGTTTCACCGTACGACAAAGCAGCCCTCTCCTCCTCCCCCTTCATGGTTGTCAGGTTGGTGCCCAGGCGACGAGCTCGCCTTGTGCCTCTTCACAGATGCTGTCCTGGACTGCGACCGACTACAGCAAATATGAACACATATGATAAAATGTACACACACACACACACACACTATATGATATATATATATATATATATGTATATATATATATATATACATATATACACATTTTTGCCCAAGTGCTCAGGCTTGTTGCCTTGCGCCTCCTTACGCTTCTGGTCGATACATTGCCTTTGCTTGCCCTGCTCGCAGAGGACGGGAAGGTGTTGCCGCACATTCGTTCCACCAAGAGGCGTGCAGCTGAAGTGACCGGTCCCACTGCATCCAGTGCAGACGTGCACGGAATGGTGCATGCCGCAAGCCATCTCAAGACTATGGCAGGTTCCCTGAGCCAGATGTCGCTTCGCCAGGGGCAAGGCACTTAGGAGGTTTCACTGTCGGCCTGCTTTGAGCTCTTGGATTCTGGGTGCTGGAAAGTAATCTCGAGGTCAAGGAGCTGTTTGGTTCCTCTGTGGAGGTGGAGGTGCTCCAACCTGTAGCACAGCGCCGGGCGGAGGCCCAGGGGGAAAGACGTCCAAGCCTGTGTCGTCACATCTTGTCTGGAGTTCCTCTAGACTGTGACTTTTGTCAACTTGAGGTAGTCGTTCCAGATATCAGAGCTTCGCTGCAGACCGGGGCAGGTGCTGATTCTCCTGTACGCGCCATTTTGCAGCCATTCGCGACTGACTCAGTGCTTCGTGAGCTGCACACTCAAAGAGTGCGACGCAACCTCCACTGCAAGAAACACCATTTCATGGGCTCGTTCAAGCATGAGGCCAACATGTAGCAATCTAGCATGCGCAAAGCGTGGTGCCTCGAAACCGTTACATTGCCACATAGTTAATGCCATTCGATTATGTTCGCAAGAACTTCCTTGGCCAGACCGCAGCAGCTTTACCAATCTCTAGCAAGGGTCTTCAGGTTTGAAATCAGCAAAAAACCCGGAATACTTGCAAGAATTTGGTCTAAACTGGCCTGTTTAGTACAGCTTCTGGCACGGCGTTGCAAAAGCTCGCATGGTTTGAGGAATCAGGAAGCTTGAAAGGCACGTGTCAGATGGCAGCCTTACAACAACGAGGATTCGCTTTTTGCGGGGCTCCTGACACAGTTGTTCTCATGTGCGGCCAAAGCCCAGGCTCCATTTCTTCCCATTGTGGCGACAAGTCACGGACGCGATGCGTGCAATGACAGGCACACACGTTTGCCCACCTCACTGCTTCGCTGACATGGCTAAGCCAGGGCTCTGCTACTGCTCCAATCTAACACTGGCTTTAGTTTGAGGCCCATCACTCAATGCTTCAGCACCAGCAGAGGGCCCAGCGACAGGGTCACTTCGGGCAGCTGGTTGTCCTTGTCGTCTGCCCTAGGTCCTTCAGATGGCGCAGATGGACGGTATGCAGAATGAGCTCTGCTTGCCTGTCTGTTGCAAGGGATGCGGCTACAGATCTGGGTCTTGCAGAATACGCGGATCGGGGCATATATGTGGCGTTGCATGGTCAACTCTTCTGGCTCCACGTTTCATGCGCATCCAGGTCAACCATGCGCATTTGTGACAGGCATCCGAGACTCCCGCCCATTCGGCAGCGTTTGCCTCAGATGAACCACAAGTGACCTGACCTCACGTGCCTTTCTGATGATTTGCCCTCGCTGCTGCTGAAGCTTCTCTCAGGGATGGTCAGGCAAGTCATTAAACACGCAGTCACAATGCCCGATATTTTTCATGTCTGAAGTGCATGGCGTGAGGCATGGTGTGGTCATGTGGTAGTGTGGGACATCTTGGGGTTTAGGGCCCCTGCGAACACCAGGTTTCCGACCCTGCTGCTTTGCCTTCCGAAGGTGGGGCTCTTGGAGGCCCAAGTGCCAGAGACACAGACTTTCATGTCCCTGTGCAAGAAGGAGACAGGCGCAACGGATGCCCTCAGCAGGGTGCTCAGCATGCGAACTGTGTGCTGGGTCGATGCGCCACTTATAGGGCCACCTGGAGTTGTGTGAAAGAAAGGCATCGCCAGCGTTGAAGGCATTGGCAATCATTGGCAGTCCTCAGGCTCAGATGTGGACTTCAAGCAATACCAGGGCCCTGGAAGCCTGGCAGTCCGCACCTCATCCACCATGGAGTTGCTGTAGCAAATCTCGGGCCAATCCTAATTATTCGCGCCTTCTCGCATCTAAGGCCATCTTGTCCTGGATGTCGAGGAATTCTGCAGGGGCCCCTGGAGATTGCAGCCAACTCTCCTTGCAAGCACGTTGTGCACCGGTGCCCTCCCAGGCCGTGGCTCCCCGGGTGGCTGGGGTCGCTTGGATTTGCCCCTAAACCCTAAACCCTAAACCCTAAACCCTAAACCCTAAACCCTAAACCCTAAACCCTAAACCCTAAACCCTAAACCCTAAACCCCAAACCCGAACCCTAAACCCTAAACCCTAAACCCTAAACCCTAAACCCTAAACCTTAAACCTTAAAGGGGGGGGGATGCGATGTCCAAGCAGCTGCACCGAGGAGTATGTTTCGGGGTTTTTGACAGCATGTTTGGGCGCCGTGGTTGGACCCATGCTTTGTTTTGCTTTTTTTGCCGCTCAGGTTGAAGGTCTCAGCTGATCTGTGACGTAGATTCAGATCTTTCCCTGTGACATTTTGTGACAATGGAATCCTTGCCATGTACCTTGTGAGCTAGCAGCAAGCAGCAAGCACAACTAGCACAAACCTAAAGACCGTGCGTCACCAGAACGTGTTCAAGTTTTTTTTTGCGCTGTTCCGCATCCAGCTTTCTGCATGGAATTCGGTTCTCCTACGTGTGCGAGGCTCTCTTCGGTTTCGAAAAAGAGACTTCCGCCACCTTCCTGTAAGCACGATCATAAGCGTAACTTGCAACAAAAACATTTTGCGCACTTCGTAGCAACAAGGCGAAAGCACCCTGACCATGCATCGGGAGAAACCGAGGAGCCTCCCGATGTTTTGCAGGAGCAAAAGCGTTTCGGTTTCAGTTTTCCACCATGGAAGGGGCCTGGGAACACCCTTTGGTAGGGCAGAGGACTTCTGGCACTGCGTCAGAAGAACTCCTAGACTGGTTCCGTGGTGACGCCCGACGCTTGACAGCGCAAAATGCTTGACCCGCTGTCTGTCGCAGTCCTCCCAGAGGCCGTATTCTATACTATATTTATTATATATATATATATACGTATTTGATTATACATTACAAATTACATATTACATATTGCATATTACATATTACATATTACACATTACATAGTACATATTACATACTACATATTACATATTACATATTACATATTATATATCATATATCATATATCATATATCATATATCATATATCATATATCATATATTGTACATTTTATATTATAGTTCCCAAGCTTGACAGCATCTCATTTTTGTTCATCGGTGCTGGAGGTGTCGATGCTTGGTCCCCGGCGCGCTGATGGCCTGACTCTTGCTCCAGCGTGGCAGGTAGCGCGCCCAGGGTTTAGGGTTTAGGGGTTTGAGGGTTTAGGGTTTAGGGTTTGGGGTTTAGGGTTTAGGGTCAGATTACGAGACTTCTTGGATGTCGAGAGATCGATGACCCTGGACTCGCTCCTCAATCGTTTTCTCTTGCCTGCTTTGCTGCAATTGACGCTCTTCACGCCCCAACCCACCTCCCCTCCCCCCCCCCGACCTGTGTTAGCTCAGGAAGTCTTTAAAGGGAGCGGCTTGCGAGATCCTTTTCCGAGAGCCTTCACCCCTAAGCCCTATGGAAACTCGCAACCCGGAACCCTGAACCCGAAACCCCCTGACAAACCCCCCAACCTCTGTGCCGGCACAGGACCACCTCGTGGAAAGCCTGTGCAACTCAGAGCTCGTCCCTCTCGTGGTGCCTTCCTCCCCGTTCCCCCTCCGTGCCTTTGCAGAATGGGTCTAGTATACTATGGTATGATATGGTATCCTATGGTATGGTAGCTTATGGTATGGTATGGTATGGTATGGTATGGTATATTGATGGTGTAGTATGGTATAGTATGGTATATTGTGGCGAATTATGGCGCAACATGGTATAGCGTATCTAGGGTTTTAAGATGTGGGTTGAAGAGTTGAGGGTATACCTCCAGCAGTCAGTTGGAGCTCTCCGTGAGTTGGGCGGGTGTGCGGAAAGCCGACCGGAGATCTCAAGGAAAGTCGCCCCAAAGTAGCAGACAACACGACTGCAACGCAACCACACGAAACATCACACGCCAGCCACGCAACGGAACAGTGCATGGGACGGTGAGACTCACAGTTTGCGCCGTCCTGAGCCCCACTTTGCACTGGAGAAGGTTGTGGGCTTTGCATGTCCAGTTTCCTCTGACCACAGGCTGAAACCAATCTGTCACATCTACGCTTGAATCTGCCAGCTGACTTGAGACAGTGATACTTGAAGCCATGGCTCAAGCCATGGCCTACGATGATGCCGACTCGCCTCCAGGCAGCTGTGGTGAAACTTCACTTCAGAGATCTTCAGAGCCTTGAAGACCCGGTTTAGGCTGTGACCGACGACGATCGCTCCAGCACAGGATGCAGAGGACTTTCTCAGCAACTCTTTCATGGGTAATGGCTTCCGCGCTGTGCATGTTGCAAAGTAAAGATTTGCAGGGCGATGACCCAGCTTACGCCACAAGTCAAAGGGAACCAGTCCCGGCCCCAGCCGAGCCTGTCAAGTGTCTCCTCGCAAAATGTCTAGAAATGTTGCTGCGGGTTTCTACAAGATGCTCCAAGTTGCTGCCAGCATACGGGCACCCAGGGGGCATGTTCGGCTGTGAAGCCCCCCGGTTCTGTTCAGCTCAGGCGCCGCTACGGCGGAGATTTCGCTTTTGTTGGTGCAGCATACGTGCTGCGAGTCCACAGAGGACTCAAGGGGTTCCGTGCTTAGGGTTCAGGAGGGTTTAGGTTGAGGACTTCTACAAGCCTAGTAGGTCGAGGACTTCTACAAGCCTAGCAGAGTGATTTCCAACCCCTATCCTTATTGAGGCTGACCGAGATGATAAGCCGCTTTGTGGCATTTTTGGTTCGTGCCATTTAAGAGAATCTTCGGGGCGACACCTGTGCTTGACCTGGGCAAGTTGCCATCATTCGATAGTAGCTGTTTCTTGGCTTTCTTCGCCGCTTGGCAGTTCTAAGCCAAAGCCAGTGCCTCAGCAGAGAGCCAAGCAACATCTGTAACCCTCTGACGTGCCCACCCTTTGGTCAGGAGCCGGCCCGCTGCAGTGGTTGCTCGAGCCTTACTTTTTCATATTGTTTGTTGCCTCGCCCTTTTTCATGCGTCAGCGCCAACAAGAAGGAAAGCATGAGATCACGGGTAAACCTCCGCTAAGGAACAGCCTGACGCAAAGGCTTGGAGCGCCATCGTTCTGTTGTAGATTTCGCACAGTGCCTAGAGAGAGCTGAGATTCCGACTTCCACAATGTCATGAAACCTCTCGAAGGACGAATGCTTTATGCAGACCCGTGAGAACCTCAAGATCGTAGATTTGCTGCCATGGCTCACCAGGTGTTCCAGTGCGCAAGGCTGCCTTTGACTTCCTGCAGAGAAACTACAGCTAGTGACATGAAGAGCTGCAGCCGCCTCTTGGCGGGACACCTGAACCCCACGCGACCCTGAACTCGTCAACCTCAGAAACTCACCTGCCTTCATGCTCCATGGCCTCATGGGGCGATGCCTCCGCGTCGCCCTAGTGCCGAGTGCGGCCATGCAGCCGCACCTGCTGACGGAGGACGGTTTCGGGGCTTCGCATCTCTTGCAATCTGTGAACGGGCGCGTGCATTCGTGAGCGGGAAGCAGAAGCCCCTTCCGTCTGCAGATGCACCTCAATGGCTCATCGACACTGCCCGAGCCACTGTGGCGACTCGAGCTCGAAGAGGACACTGGGGTAGCAGAGGTGAAGCAGCTCTTTTCAGGAGTGCACCTCACCTGCCTCCTCTTGCTTCTGCCATCGCTATCTGAGGGCTGCACAGGAGGTCCATGTCTTCGAGCTCACCATGAAACAGACATTTAGCAAGTTTAAGGTGTCCGCGAAGACTGGCGAAAGATGCCGCTCAATTTCAAGGTAAAGCAATGCCCATTGGACAATCTTACACTTTATTCTCGGGAATAACAAGTATTCGCTAAAACAGAAAACAGGTATTAAATATCAACAGGTACCAATACACAAGAATAAAAGAAACAATACATGATAGCAGGCAACAAAGAGCAAATACACACGTAATAACAAACAAGGAATCGAAACCATATTAAGGCAAGCAGCTCTAAAACACTAAAAATATTATTTTCAGTGTGATATCAACGAATTGTCAATATGCCAATAAATACCATAAGAGCTTTGACTACGAAATACAAGATGCGAAAGAAACATCAATACGCAACAACGAGAATCAACGAAACAGTAAGAATCATAATGCTAGTAGGTATAGATCAACCCCGTCATTCTTGCAATAGATACAAAGCAAAGAGTTACACCCTAAGCCCTACAAACTCAAAAAAACCCTAAGAACCCTAATCTATTTTGTCAGTCAGTGTCCATATTAGGGTGAGCTCGCTCAAGGAGCTCGTAGTGGTGGAAGCTCCTCCAGCCGGCTGCTGGCTTTGCTAAGCCACTGGGTAGGCCTTCGGGATGTTTTTTCTTTTGTCTTTTAGTTTTTTTTTTCCGCCTTCCCTTATTGGGGGCTTAAGAGGATGGTTTTATGATGGCGAAGTCTAGGCCACTATCTGGAGCTGCACTTTGGACATCCCAAGAACTTTCCGCGGCGCCGACGACAGGACGGCTTGTGTAGATTTAGTTCGAAGGTGTTCGAAGCTTTCCTGACACATCTTGGCCTCGATTCTCCTCGTTTTTTTGCAGGAAGCCTCCGCCAAACGTGCAAATGCCGGCGAGGCTTGTTTCTGGATGGCATTCGGCCCCGCGTTATATCGTAATGTTGAAACCTGCCCGACTCCTGACTGTGCGCTCGGACTCTGAAGTCAGATGAATGGCACTCAGGTTCACAGCAGCAGCTGTTCCTGGAGGCCAGGTCATGTCGGAGCAGCATCTTCGATTTTGCGGTTCGTGCATCGGCTGCTCACTTCCTACAAAATCCAGTCCAGAGTTCTGGCTGCTGGCCATGAGCCCTTGGAGTTTAATGGTGTGGTGCCTTCACCCAGAGCTGTCAATGCTATGGGTCCTGGGGCAATCTGAAATGTATTCCCGATGAGTATCAGATATTCAGTCCTCCTGGTTCAAGCATGCTCTTCGATCTGGGTACTTCGGATGATGCTACTGCAGAAGTATGAGTGCTCCTGCTCTTGTATCCCTTGCCTTGGTTTGTTTGGAAGGACTCAGCCGAGGATGCTCTCATTGGCGGCCCTTTGGATTGGCAATTGACGGGCTGAGCTTCATGGGTGTGATGCTTCAGCAAACAGCCAGTACATGTAAATGTAAGTAGAAGTGGAACTAGTTCATCATACATAGACATATGAAGCTAGAAACATAACCGCTAACAACACATACAAAAAAAGGAGCAAGGGTATGAAAGTAGTACGAATATAGCTACATGAAAACGTAAATGTTCGTTTGTCTACCTGTCTAAATAGTACAGAACCCTGAACCCTAAAACCGCAATCTACCCATTTGTTGAGTATTGTTAGTTTCGTATACGATAGATGTATGCCAGTGAATTTGTTGATTGTAAATGCTTGCGCGCCACCTCGGCAGACGGGCTGGCCGAACGCGGGGTGTAGGGTGCGCAATGGTGCAAGGACAGGTCCCAAACGAGCGCCAGTCAGGTTCGGGGAGACCCAGGTTTTAGGGAGGTTCCAAAAAGCGGTCGCAGAAGGGGTGTCAGAGATGCCAGGTCGGGAAGGGGGGAAGAAGACCAGATCTTGGGCTGCTTGTTCTAGACGCCTCTCGGCTGGAAGCCGAGGCGAATGTATTCATCTAGTATACAAGCGGTCCCGGTTTGTAGTTCCCCCACCTTCCCCCCCTCCTCGCCCGCTCCCCATCGCCACCCTACACAGAGGGAGGGTGCACGGTTGAAGTAATGAAACGCCACGGTTTCGTCGCAGAATAGTCAAGCAACGAACGTGTCAAGCATCAACCAGCACACAAAGACAACACTTCGTGCCATCTCAGTTGAAGTAGGCTACGGTCAGCTTGAAAGGTCCGGCGAGAAGCAGCTCATACACCCGCATTGTCCAGGCCATCGCACCTCAGCTTCGTTGGCCCAAGCCAACATTGCACTGTACTATCTGTAATGCAGCTTGCGCTGTAGTAGGGAATGGTTTGGATCATCGATGTTGGGGACGTTGGGGGGGGGGGGGGGGGCATCTTAAGTTTCGGGGTCTTTTGGTTGAATCAGCTGAGGGCACCTTCCTGACGCCTTGGGACGTCCTGGCTGTGCAGCAAAGCAGCGGCTTCAAGATGGAGAGCATGTGTGTTGGTTTAGGGTTTATAGGGTTTAGGGTTTTGGGATTGTCAAAAACGCAGCATGAAGCAACCAAAAATCGGGGTGGAACTGGTGCCAGTACCCGCATGTAGGGGCAGCTTGCAAGAAGCCTGCCGTGGAACTGTGTTGGCAGCCCCAATCTCCTATGAGATGTTGTTTCTCTCTCTGTCAGAGGAGCACGGGCCGGAGACCGGGGCAGAGCTCCTGGCCAAGCAGGCTGCAGCGTGCTTTCACGAGTTCTTCCGCCCTTTTCTGCTGTAGAAGAATCAAAAGTTGCTGTTCAATGTTGTTCAATGATCTGCTTCGCACCTGGGAGTGGGCAGGACATCCTCATACGCTCGCTCAGAGACTCCGCAGCCTCGCTGCATGGTCGGCTCTGGCACTTTAAGTCGATCTTCGTCGGCTTCTTCCTGTAGCAGTTTAA